TCCTCCTGGAGCGTCTTGACCTTCTCCTCCAGAGCCTCCACCACCGCCTGAGATTTCCTCAACTCAACCTCATGCTGAGGATCAGCCTCGGTGTAGACCACCACCATCTCCAGGATCCTCATCAAGGCAGAAGCATCCTGCGCCAGTATGGTCCGCCTGTTGGGACGATCCATTTCCTCGAGCTTAAGAGATTCTGCCCGGGGATGGCCAGCGAGGACCCCTCTAAGTACTTTCGGTTGTGAAGGCAGGGAGGCAATTCGAACTTACTTTTCTCCCTCTCTTGGCTGAGGTCCACAAAGTAATTCAGGCGCGAACGCTTGAGCCTCAAACTCACATGCATGGGTGATGTCTGGGTAGCAGTTAGGGTGGATGAAGAGGTCCCCAACCCTGTATGGGGAGGAACCACTCGCTGGCTGATGCGGCTTTTTCCTATGGCCACACCACCTTTCATTTTCCCGTGTGCCTTCTTCACCATCCTTTCTTGCACGGAAGACATATTACCTGCATATACAACAGGAACATCAACACATAAATGAAAAAATATCTCAAGAAAAATAAGGAGATGTAGAAAGTTACCCAAAAGCTCAAGAGCCTCCGCGCGAGTGCTACACTCGAGGGGCTATTTGGTGTTGATATATCGGGCCTCCACCTGGGGTCCTCCATCTTCTTGGTAGAGTATCGTCCCAACACGAGTCACACACTGGGCAAGGACAAAACCATCCACGAAGGCCACTAGCTTGACATAGTTGGCCCGATTGTTATCCCCTAACTGGTGAGGAGTAACTATATACTCATCAGTCGTACGGGTGAAATGAGCCCCACTCTAATAGAAGGGGAACTAGAATAGCCTTCTGGAAACTATCTTGTCATCCTCCTCTATCAAATCCTCCCCGTTCTTGTCCGTAGAGACCTCCCAGACAAAGGTCGAGTCGGTAGTCTCCTCCGACATGGGCTCGATCACGTAAAATCTCTCCTTGAAGGTCCGGATAGACTCAGAGAAGGGCTCAAACAACTTCCTCCCCTGTTTCAGAGATACCCATCCAAACTTCCTCCCCGATACTTGTCTCTAGAGGTGGAGGATGGTGAATAAAAGAGGGAGAGTAGCCTTAATCCCCAAGTGTTCGCATACCAACTCATATGCCCGCATGAAGGTTATTGAATTCGGATGCAGCTGGGAAGGCGCCAGATCCAGATGTACGAGAACTGCTCGCTGAAAATCTGTGAAGGGTAGCCTCAACCCTATATCCTTAAAGACATACTCATACATGGGAAACTGCTTCCCGTATGATGAGCAGATCCGATCATCCTCCTTGGGGAAGTGAGCCCTCCACTCTCCCTCAACCCCTACTATAGTGAAGACGTCCCTGGTATAATTGGCAAAGAGCGAGGCATGCTCCAACGGTTCGACCACGGACCATTCATCAGCTGAGGTCCTTGCAACGGATGCCTCTTCTGGCCTTAGGAGGCGCGAAAGCATTATCGGTGTTAGTTTCCTCTGAGGAGCGCTCCTCGGATAGATCTCTAAGAGTCTTTTCTTTAGCCCTGTGCGACATTTCCTTTACCTGAAAAGCAGAGGATAAAAGTGAATTCAATGACAAAAATTAAATCCATCCTTCCACTGTTAGTCAAGTGAAAGAGCGCACGGAGGGCCAAGGACGACATCCTCGAACTAAGCCCTACTCAAATGGCAAGCGCTAAACAAACAAGGATATGCACGGGAAATCTCCCTGATACATCCAGGGAAAGTTCCCCAAGCACGAAACCTAGAATCTTCAAGAGGGAACCACCGAAAAGCTCATAAGCACACTGGAATCCACGGTTCCTTCTGACAGCAAACACCATTGTGTTTTTACTACACCAAAATCAGCTAAAGGCTCAAAAATACCTAAGTCCTTCATTCCTAACGCTCACTAGGACGCCAGAAGCAGAAAATGTGGCCAAACCACCGTCTGCCACCAGCAACCACCATTAAACGCCCTAAAACTACTTCGTATCAACCCTAACCACATGCACTCTAAAGTGCATAAATAAAAAAAAATAGATAACAAGTAAGGAATCAACATACTTACTTCGTCGAGGAAGAAGCTTCTGGATTTGAGTAGCTCTGGTCGGACCTGGTACGGTGGTCGAAACGAAACTTGACAGTGGCAGATGGCTGGGAACGATGAACAGAAAGCAAAGAAGAGAGAGAAGCAAAAATTTAAAATGAGCAGAGTCTCTCACTATTTAAAAGTGAAGTCCAGGCACGTGCATGAGCACGCGCGACTAGGGCCATCATCATGACCCTAACTTAGTCATCATCAAGCAATTAATACAACACACGGCTCGAGGCACACGTGGCATCTCCATCCTTCAGATCCCATCACCAGTTGGTCTCCCCATACCTCAAGCTCCCCGACAAGCAACGTTTCAGATGCCCCAGCACAGATTCCCTTCGGTCACAAGGTAACGGTCCCGACTCCGCGACATACGAAGACTTTGCCCAGGAAGCAGGCTATCCTTAAGTCATCACTCCCCTGCTCGGAAGCAACGACTTAGGGGGCTACTATTCCAAACTGGCCCAATGGCTAGGCACGACCCATTCCACTTCTACTCCCATAACGGCCCAATTGCTTAAGTCCAACCACTTACAGGGAAGAATTTACCTTTCTGCCCCTTCAATAGGGGAGGTTGACCAGTTTACCCTTGATTACAACACTTCTGCTCAAAAGTCTCTGTCAGTCACACACGGTTCCACCATCCAGAAACAGCCAAGACGCCTGTGTCCGTAACTACGCCCTTGCCCGTAGCAACAACTAGTTATGGGCACGTCTGCCCGTTCTAATGGCTAGTTCTAGCAGTTACCTATTCTTCGGGAAACAGTTATCTCGCCCCGAAAATAGGGACCAATGGCCAAGCGTTGGGGGCACTATAAAAACCCTCTTGTATTCACCCTGATATACTCATATTCTGTACTTGCTCTTTCTCTCTTGTCCGATTCTTACTTTAGAATCAGAGTGTCTTGCAGGTACACTCTTTCCTCCTCTTTCACACTCAGCAACACAGACAATTGTCTTTGGCCCCCTCAGGTTCTGATCAACTAGTAAAATCAGGGTGTGACACCCTGAATCTGAGATTCCCTCACTTTTACTCATACACTCTCCCAAATATTTGTAAGAACCAATTATATGAGAAATGATTCAAATTAAAATTCAAGACTAAGTACTATATCCTTCTGAAACAAGAAAGACGCTCAAGAGTATATTAATACACAAAAAAAGATGAAGACCCTCTTAAACAAAATACGGCACACACAAATCTTCAAAACGAGTATGTCTTCAAACAAGGAGAACTATCTCCTTAAATAACAAACACGATCCAGACAAAAAGTCCACTAAGATTTAACCAAAAACAATAAATCAAATCTTCTTCATTAAAATCTGTTCTGGCCTGGGCCCCGGCTTGAACGGGAAGACCCAACCCAATAATATTCTGCCAAGCCCAATCCAGCTTAGGCCACAACCGTCGAGCACAGAGTCCCCGACGGCAGGTAATGTCCCTCCGCGGGTAGAACCTTCCTCATCTGTATCAAGCCCAAGGCCCCCCGTCGGCCAAACACTGCCCCCGTCAGGCAGAACCTCCATCCGCGGGCAGAACCTGCTCCCTCCACGGGCAGAACCTGCTCCCCTGTCGGGCAGGGAAACATGTCTTTCACACGTTCTCCACGTGCTCCCCTCCGCGGGGACACGTCCTCAACCAACTGCCCACCTCCGAAAGAGCAGGTCAACCCGCTCTCCGGAGTTCACAGAGCAGTTGAACTAAGGCGAAAACCACGTTCTGGTCTTCACTATGCCACGTAAGCCCTAACAGTCACTTGGGTTGGGCCTGACCATACATCCCAACTCAAATGACTGTTGGCCCTGCGATGGGGTCTCTCTATAAATACCCTCTTTCACAATAGGGTCAGGTATTCTCTTCTTACCCCTTTGCTGTACTTGTGATCACTCTGCCCATACGCTTACTTTGGCATCGGAGTGTCTTGCAGGTACACCCTCTCCTCTTCTTCAACACCGGTGAACAGGCAGTAAGTCAAGGACGCGTGGCAGTCCGTGATCCCCTTCTAATCAGGTCAGATCAAAATCAAATTCAAATCTTTTACTTTAACCATATCCAATTAAATCTTTTCCAAACAAATTTATAATTTAATGAAATCTTTATCAAATAAATTTGAGTTAAAAATACTATTTCGTGCGCAATCTCTGCAAACCTCTAATTAAACTAAAAATAAAATAGAACCAAACCTTATAATAAATGTTGAAGCAAAACAATCAGATAGTGCGCCAGTGCTAACGAAGATAAATTGTCTCATACAAAATCAAAACATATTTCTCAACAAATTTTCTATAAAATTTATCCAATCAAATTTAATAATAAAATAAAAAGAGTTTAATGGTAGTGTATTGCTGGTTCACCATTTTTTTTAAAGTAAAAATCGAATTCATTCTCGTAGATTCCAAAATAATCATAAGTAATGTTTAAAATTCTAACAAGATAGTGTCTTTTACAATACTATGACTTTTAGTAAAATAAAATATTTTTTCGATAAATAATCAATTCATTAATTTTCTATAAATTAAAAATACATATAATTGAAAAAAATTTCAAGTCTTGTTTTTTTAAAATGAAAAATTAGTTTTACTCAATTAATCCTTATCAAATATTAGTGCAGTATTAACCGGTTCTATTGAACCATAACCAAACCACATCATACCCTTAAACATATCCTGCCCATTTGTGTTGTAGATTCTAGTTTAGTTTCAACCTAACCCGTTTTCAAATAAATCCACCTGAGTCTGAATAAGCTCTCACCATTTAGGTGCATCAGCATCAGCATCGAGAGGTAGAATAGAACCAATGAAAAAGCGGTTCTGTTGTCCGGTTCTCAACTGAACCGGTTGGACCGGACAAAACATAGATCCAGTTATAAAACCTAAGAAAAACCAAAATTCATAGTACTAAGCATGATTTTGTTGGGAGATTCTTGTTATTTCACTCTCACCAAACCTCGTTTTCTCCGACCCAACACCGATTCAGTTTCCAATGTCCACAAAACAAGAATAACCAAAAGGGTGCAATGTTTGCGAAAGTGTGAACTCATAGATTTCCATCAAGAATTGATTCCTTACGAAGTGGCATGGTCTTTACAGAAACACATTGTCAAAGAAAAGAAATCACAGATTCACACCGAAGGAGATTGCGACGATACTCTCATTGTTTTGCAACACCCTTCTGTTTTTACATTGGGTACTGCTAGTTCTGACAATAACCTCAATTTCGACATTAAAAATCCTCCCTTTCATGTTCATCGTACAGAACGTGGTGGAGAAGTTACATACCATGGTCCTGGTCAGGTATGTTCCTGTTTCGATTTCTTGTTGTTTAGGGTTTTGGAATTTAGTATTGAATTGTATATGTGTTTTGGGTTTGGGTTTGCAGCTAGTGATGTATCCGATTATCAACCTTAGAAAACATAAGATGGATCTTCATTGGTATCTCAGAAAACTTGAAGAGGTTGTTATTGGTGTTCTGTCTTCAACCTTTTCGATTCGTGCTTCTCGGGTTGAAGGCTTAACCGGTGTTTGGGTTGGTATGTAAGTCTCTACAAACTGAATTACTAAATTATTAGGTTTGATCGATGTTTTCTAAACAATAATTTGGTAGAGGAACTAAATTGAGCAATGTTTTTATAAGTTATTCTGACGAGTTTATGTAAATAAGTTGAAAATATAGTATGAACATGTCATAAGTTAAGTTGTTTTTATAAGTTCTTTCGAACATGATCAGATGTGTTTATACCAGTAGATAAGCCCAAGTAAGTCGATCTAAACAGACATGTTATGTTAATGCTTGTAACGTTTACGCTCTTTATCTATGCCTTCTCCCCTAGGGGATGACAATTTCACATTATAGATTGCATGCATCATAGCAAATTAGATCATGATCACCAGTATTATGATCTGCAAAATGGGTTGGATAAGATTTTATCATAATTTTGGAATCTTGATCATAATTAAGATTGTTAGAGCTGATTCAATTTGTGCTTGAATTTGTTATGTTTTAACTTTTAAAACTAATGTGGAAATTTTAACTGTCGTTAATCTGTGTTTTTCCTTATTCTTTATTACATCTTTGAAATTTCAGGAAATGAGAAAGTGGCAGCTATGGGTATAAGAGTGGCTCAATGGGTAACCTACCATGGCTTAGCACTCAATGTCACGACGGATTTGAGTCCCTTTAAATGGATCGTCCCGTGTGGAATCCGCGATCGTCAAGTTGGGAGTATCAAAGGGTTGCTGAGAGAAGCTCGGTCATCGTGTAATGATCATGGAACATCTGATTTGCATGGTTTGGATGATGACAGTCTTATTCATATTACTCATAAGTCCTTAATTGAAGAGTTCTCAAAAGTGTTTCAGCTTGAGTATCATTATAAAACTATTTCTGTACCCATGTTGTGTGGAAGTGAAGGAAAGGAAATTGCATACCAAAGAAACAGCAAACTTGAATTTTTGTAATGCACATAGACACATAGCTTATTTAGTTTTTTTTATAGATATGGCCAGATTAAAGGATCTTCAATCTTGCAAACAAACACACTTGTTACTCTATGTTGTGTTCTAGGATACCAATTGCTTGTGTATTAGGGTAATGTGATAACATTATAAACAAACTCTCTTCTGTAACAATCGAAAGAGAAAACAGTGGTGATATTTTCAAGACAGAGGGAATGAAATCACATGTTGCATTGACCCGAGTAACGGAAGCAGTAGGGGTGGAAAAGGTTAAGTTTGCTTTAAAAAATAAGTTAACTTTGTTTAAATAAGTTAAGTTTACTTTTTCAAAAATTTCTGAAGGGGAAAACTATGTGGTACTTCATTTGGTGACATGGAATACATAGAAAAGATAATGCTGGTTAATTATTGTCTCTAAACAAACAAGATAATTGAAAGACGCCATCTTTTTCTTGGTAAATGATGATAGTGAAGTTAAAACAGAAATGAATTACAAAGAATGATGATAGTGAAGTGGAACTTTTATGAATACAATTCCAAATATATACAACTCTCACTCTTCCACATTTCATACAAAACTCAGTAATTTTCTGCTACTGGCCTAGAAGGGAATAGCCTCAAAAGAAAAGTCATCAATGACCAAAGGCACACAATTCCCAGTAACTGGAAGATCACCATCATTCCAAACAAAGTTCCACTTCGTTCCAGTACTTCAGGTGACGCTGGTAGGTCCTTCATAGAGTACATCAACTTATCCGCAAAGGTAGCGGCTTTTGTAAGCTGATAAAGTCTGTATACCTGGCAAATCAATTCAGAAGGTTATAAAAACTACACATTCTTGGTAAAAAAAACCAAGTTTTTTTGTTATTCTTCTTCAATCAATAGACTCATCATGCAGCATTACGATCTTAAATCAATTTGAAAGCAAACAGATAGGTCATAGACAAACCTCAAATATAATAGGAACTAGAGGCCAGCACGACGACCCGCGCTTTTCCAAATATCTCTCAAATGCAAACTGAGCGAAACAGCCAACTACAAAGGGAGCTATAGCAACAACAGCGGCCATGCGAACCACTGACCAGGTCACGTACAAAAGAAGGAGAGGAACAGTAATCTTCAAACCTGTTGTGAGGAAGGCAGAGGTTATGTATCCTTTGAGGCCAGTGATGAGACCCCATGTTTTAGAGCTGTACTGCAAATATGGCCTCTGGACACGATCAGCCACCCCCAAAAATGTTGCAAGTCCGATATAAAACAGTGCCTCGGAAGAGATTGAAGTTACAATATCTGCATTTTATTGGTAACAGAAATGTGTATAAAAAATACTTCTCCCTTGCAATATACAAGGTTCTTACTTCTTACAAATACAAAACCATGACTAGATTTGCATAAACCCATCTAGAATACTTTAAAAAAAGGCCGCTCTCTATTAGAACAAACTAGCAAGAAACCAATTTAGAAAAATTTGTTCGTCTTTGAGGGGGTTGCCTAGGACAAATATGCTTCTTACTTTCATCATAGGTCTAAGGAAAAATTTTAACATGATTTATGACAACTTGACTAGATTTGTGACAACTTGATTCTACGCGAAGATTCATAACAGAGTACAATAGCACAACAGGCCATTCATAACTCCAAACCTCATTGCACAAAGATAACAATAAGATACAAACACATCTGAAACAACTGATATATTCCAATGGTCATTTCACAGTTTTACTTCCTATAACACAAACTATTATCATCCAATTTCAAGCACGACCAGTCAGTAAGATAATAAAGTATAAAGTTTTATGAAGTACAGACACCGGAAACACAACACCATTGACACGTCGACACTAATAACAATTTGAAAAAAATGAATAAATTAAACGCAATCACAAGTGTCGGTATTGATTTCGGACACCGACACACAAACACATTTTTTCAGAAATGTCGGTGCTACAGAGACAGCAGCATGAAAACACATTTGAAACAACGGTATATCCTGATAGTCATTTCACAGTTATTGTCCAATTTCAAGCACAGAGTTCTGTGATAAATACCTTTTAAAATCAAACCATTGAAATAAGCCTCAACAACAGTGCCAATGAAGAACTGTGGCAGAATCAAAGACGATATAAATGCAACAGGACCCCATACCCAGAAGTAAGAGCTCTCATCTGGTTTGATTGGAGCGGATTCCAATTTCTCTTCAATAGATTGGTGTGTCAACCCATAAAAAGACACAGAACCTGATTTACCATGAAACGGTTCCACTTCCACCACATTAACAGGAACACTAGAACTTTGAACCGATTCAACTTCCAAAGCACCATTTACAGTGGAATCAGAAGCATGTACAAGAGTCCTTTGAAATTTGTTCAATCCCACCTCTTTTAAGTCTGAAATCAAAACAAAGATAAATTCTTGAATGGTTTGTGGTATAAACAAAAATCAAAATGCTAAAAAAAAATGCGACAAAAATCTTACATTTGGATGCTTTTTCAAACCCAAATTTCTGTCTCTGGTATCTGAATAGAGCGTTTGAGGAATTAAAATGGAATGAGTGAGATTGATGATTACTCACACGACGATGATGTTTGGATAATTGAAGTGGTTGAGAAGGAAGAGCGCAACAAAGAGTTTGAAGTTCCATTGCATGAATTTAGGGTTTTGAGGATATAATTCTTGCTTCTAAAACCCTTTGCAAGAGATTAACAATACTCCTCCCTAACAATATCTGTGTACTAATTTTATTTACGTTCCCTTTTCTCTTTCTATTTCTCTATTTTTATGCTCTATTATTATCATCTCATATTATATTATTGTTGTGTTTCTGCTTTTTTTTTTTTTTTTCCACTTAAATCATATTTTGTTCAAAACACTAATAAATAATTTAAATCTCTAAAAAAATTTGGTGCTCTTAATTTTGTCGTATTGCTTATTGATGAACTTAGACCTTGGACCTCTTGGACTAAGACGTGTTGGGTGCTAACACCTTCCCATCGCGTAACCAACCCCTTACCCCGTCTCTGTTTATATATTCTTGTTTTAGAACACTTTAGGTTTTGTTCGCTCTTTTTCCTTTCCTTTTTGGATAAAATAAAAGTGCGGTGGCGACTCTTGCATTTTTGAGTTAAGTTAATCAATAGTTTACACTCACAAATTTCCCCGCTACACGTACAGGTGCAATATCAATAATCGACATATTCAACCCATATTCAATTGTATACATATGCAATGCGACTCAACTAACATGACACAATAGATGTGGTACCATCACAATCACATACGGTTCACCCTAGAACCCGATTCCTGTCGGAATCCAAATAAGTCATATATGTTCCTCTAAACTACAATTTATCTTCACTCGACTCCCACATGGAGTTCGGACAGACTAGGCACCCATCATGGATTTCCACCTAGCTTATCTCCACACAACATGACATGAATGCATGACACAAAATTATGCACAATACAATAATCATTCATGCATAACCCACGATCCTTACTGATCACCTGTGAGCCACATACTCACCGTAATTCCCTCAGGAATTGCCACCACTGCCCAAGATCGTCCACATACGACAATCTCGACACACAATAATCAAACATAGCAATCAAACAAGGAAAATGAATAATGTACAGAAAATCCTAAAAGGGAACGGAACTCTCACTACCCTCTCATGTTATTATCACCATTAGAGAACCCATTCTCCCCCTTACCTGAATTTTAAGCTTTCTCTCTTCAATAATGGTGGAAAAGTCTCTTGCCCTAGCTCTCATGCTTTCTTCCTTTCTTTCTCTTTTACGTGAAACTAATATTGTAGCCTCCCACTAATCTCTCCTAATTATGTTTTATTTCTTTTTAATTTTTTTCATAATAATGATAATAATCCAAATAATAATCCTAATAATACTTATGATAATATTAGTACCCTTAATAATAATAATAATAATAATAATAATAATAATAATAATAATAATAATAATAATAATAATAATAATAATAATAATAATAATAATAATAATGAAGTATCTCATTATTTATATTATCATCATTACAACATTATCTAAGCCTTTAACACCAATTAAGTCATTCTACTAAGCTCTCACACCCAACCTTACACACATACCCTTTACCAAGATAATGTCCAGAATAATCACACAAAATAATCACAAAACGACTAAATAATTAAATGGGGTGTTACACCTGCCGCCCCTCGAGGCGTTACATTGAGATGGACTTCTTGACGAAGGTCATTGCCGCCACTCAAGGAACTACAATGAGTTGGACTTCTTGACGAAGGTCTTTGCCACCCCTCGAGGTGTTACATTTGTTAGAACACATATTGGTTCTTAATATATCTAAATGTTTTGATGATAACATTAATGAAATTTTCTATAGAGAATATATATACTCTAATTTTGTTCAAGTGTTTTGTTTCAGATATCAAATAAATATTTATCTGAAGACAAAAAAAAGAATTCATCTGAACATTATATAACGCAAAGCTTTGAGCGTAGAAAGCGCAACACAGAAGACTCTGAAGCGCTAGTTGCAGAAGACTCTGAAGCGCTACCTGCAGAAGACTCTGAAGCGCTACCTACAGAAGACTCTGAGCGCAGAGTATAAAGATTCAGTATATTCAGAAGACTCTGTGAGAACTCAACGCTGCAACCTACAGAGACTCTGAGAATCAAGTCAACTCTGATAATTCATTCACGCTAAGCACTTTGCTGCATAACTCTAGATAGAGTGACTCTGATAAAGAAGAACGTAGAACATCATCAGAGGATCTGATGTGTTGCGGTGAAAATTGGATATCAAGCTATTAATTAACTTGAACCTTAATTCTTTTACAACCGAACTTTATTTTATCCAAAGGAAAGGTCTAAAGAAAGAAAAACCTTTTTCGCGATGTAACGACAATGCTTAAGAGTTTCGGGGATCAGGGGTTGGTTATACCTAGGGAAGGTGTTAGCACCCTAAGCATCTGTAGTACTCTACAGGAACC